AAACGGTGTAAAGCTTAAATCAACATTTGAGGGTGCAATTGGACTTGTGATTTGACCATGACGAATATCGTAATCGTTAGATTTCTTAGAATGAGCTCAGTCCCTTTAACTAAATGTTTAAGTTTTAATTAAAAGTCAAGAGGTTTTTTTTTTTTTGGGTTATGACTTAATATCCCTGTTTACGATATAACCATTTTGAACTGTTTGTACATAGTCACATTGTTCTTTTAAAAGGTCACATAGATCACAATATACACCTCCAAGACCTTTATAAATATTTTAAGGCTTTCTGTCCAATCTTTGAGTCACAATGTTTATTTTAACATTGTTTTCATCATATTCGACAATAATTCAATCTTCCGTCAGGGTTCAACCCTGTCAACCCTGTCAACGCTGTCAACCCTGACAGAAAATAAAAACTCTGAAAAGAAATGCCACAAAAATGACAAAAACTTAAGTCAAACAGCTTGCTGTTTTATTTTGAAAATAATTCCAAAGTAACCATTATAAAACGAACCAAAATTTCAAAGTTTCGATCGCACACACTCAAAAATTGTTAAAAATAAAAACAAACATCAAATATTGTCACCGGAAATCAGTTTTTTTGGTATTTTGTTGAAATTTTTTTGTTGTTACTATAAGTAGCAACTATGATAATTTGTTTTCAAAATTTTATAAAATTGTTTTATCTTATTATTTGCTAAGCATATTGACCTTTATTGCCGTGGCCGCTATCTTGAAATAAGTGTTTTTAATCCATAAGTCTTACTCGCCACAACCTTCTTAGGGCACTTTTCACTTTATAAATAAAAAATTTGAAAAGTATGCTATACTTTAAAATGGTTTAAATGTATACCGTATTTTTCGAACAAAACTGCCAAGTAGGCCATATGTGTGTGTGTGCGCGCGCGCGTGTGTGTGTGTTTTTTATATTTATCATACCAAGAAAGTTAATTTATTGTTATTTTAATGAATATTCAGATAAAATGTGTTTTCAGATGTTTTGCAGATGAGTTATTATAACACAGGCCAACAAAATTGTACGTTTGTACTTTTTTTTTTTTTTTTTGTATACAACATGTATTTCTTATAGTAATTCATTCTGATTAAAAATATGCAATCTTTTTATTTTTATTTTTGACAATATTAGGGATTTTACCCTAAATATTAAGGATTTGAACCATAATATTTTTAAAACTTGACGTGATAGAAAAAAAAAAAGAATTGCATACTTGAAATTAAAATGAGGAATACTATAAGAAAGGCATAATAATAATAATAAAAAATACAAAAAAAAAAAGTACAAAAGTAAAATTTTGTTGGCCTGTGTGACACAGCTTGTGCATTTATAACATAAATGCACAAGCTAACTTGGAAAACATCTACTTTGTACATCTACATCTACATTGTTCCACAAAAGTGAATAACTAAAAGTAACATATCGCGACCTCAGAACAACAACGTTTTAATCCACAATAGAACCTATGGTGAGTTAAAACCTCGTTATTCTGAGGTCGCGATATAACAACTTGGCATTTAAAAAAAAAGCGCGGTTCCTAAATTGATAAACTTGATTATAAAAATTTGACCAGAAAATGTGCATTTTTCGCTTGTGGGTCTTTATTTTATATTTTTGGTTGAAATATTTAAAAAATATTCAAATACTACGATGATAAAACGCATATTATTGAAACAAAAAATGAATTTTGTATAACTAAGTAAGTTTATTGCAATAAGATTTTTTTGAAAATTTCCTAGAAAATTTCAACCCTATTTAACAAATTTAAAATTATCAATGTTAATAAAATTACACAAAAACGCTGTCTTATGTCTACCGAAGCTAATAATCTAAAGTTTTTACATGGAAAGTCCTCACAACAACTCACAATCACCTATGATGAATTTTTTTTAATTGTTAAAGTGCTCTAAAGAAGAATTAAGGGTCTTATCACAACTAACTTAGGGTCTTATCACAACTAACTTAGGGTCTTATCACAAAGTAACGCGGAGGAGCAATTTAACTAGGAAGTTCACACCTCTATCCTTACCAATGTCGCTTATCAGATCAGAGCGGACATCAAACCTCAGAACTCTTGATTCTGAGAAAGAGCACCACTGCACCACGGCTCCAATCACGGCTCCAATCACGGCTCCAATCACGGCTCCAATCACGGCTGCTATGAAGTTATTTCCAATCACGGCTGCTATGAAGTTATTTCGTATTTTCAACAGTAATTGTTACAAATTATTTCTTATGTGGACAAGTTTCATGTATAATGGCTGATTTTTTGTTGTTTTTATAACTACACATGATGACTACGTATTTCATTAATAAAATGAGTATAAAAATATTTACCAATTACCTACTTTGATAATAATAATAATGATTTCCTTTAATTTAACAATTGATTTTGTCAAAATAATTACTTTTATTGAAATTAAAGTAGAAGGCCGTGGCGCAGTGGTAGCGCACTTGCCTCAGAAAAGTTCGATCTGTGGTTCAAACCCCTTCTCTGGGCGAATTTTGCGACATTGATTGGGAAGGAAGAGTGAACTTTCTATTAAATGTTCCTCCGCGGTGCTCTGTGATAAGACCGTAAGGACTTCTTGAGGCACCTTAATCAACTAAAAAAAAAAAAAAAATATTTTTATTGAAAAAAAGTATTAAGTAATTCGAAATCAGCATAAAAAATTAATAAGATAAAGAAAAACTGGTTAAAGTACACACAATTAAAAAAAAGTTTGTTTTGGACAAATCTCCCCCCACCCTAATATTACCAACTATCTCTAGTATTTGTTCTATATTAGTAATACACTTACCATTTGATCTTTATCACAGTTTTTCAAACAATGGTAAATTTTCTAAGTATTTGTTTTGCTTAGAATTCTTTTAAAACATGATTTGTAAGCAAGATTTGAAAATAAAGAACCAAAAAACCAAAAAACAAATAAAAGAGAAACTTTGAAAACTAAACAAGACCATTGATAAGGTTCTTTTAAACTTGTCAAAATGCCTCATTTTTTTTAATATTGTAATGTCATTAGAATTATGATAAAGACTTTTGGAAAACATTTGTCAAGCCATTTTTGCCATTGTCGGCTTTCCCTAAATCAGCTGCTTTTGAAGATTAAATTTACCAAAAAAGAAAATGGTAGCTTAGTTTAATCACACATGCGTAAATCTTCATAAGGAGTATAAACGTTAACTCCAGGTTTTAGAGGTTCCTGATACCTTTTACATTTTTGCACAAAATTTTTGTGAAAAAGATGCACAAAACCTTATAAAAAGTATATATTATCTTTTGTTCCCAAGGCTTAGCCATTTGTCTCATATTTCTTGAAAAAGAACTGATTTTTCCTGTTACCACCACAAACTTAAGATTAAACATAACCATAACATTAGACGTAACTAAATTTCTTGATAAAAGCCTGCTTTACCCTGCTGATGTGACACAATTAGAGATAAAACATAACCACCTTGTTGCTTTTATGCAGAGAATTTGTCTTAAGCCACATGAAATATAATTTTTACAAAAATTGTAAAAGTTGTTTCTGGACAACAAAAACGTTTTCCCTTTGAACATTGATGGGACACCAGACATTTTATATTGATCTAACTTTATTTTACATTGTCGTAAGACGACAGTCTTTATACCTCTGTGTAGATACTGAAAAAACTAAAAAGGTCTCATACTAAACTTATTTTCACGATAAGCTGGACAACTGACCTTTGACTTCTAAGGTGCAAAATTTAATAAATTTTTTAAAAGTTTTAAAATAAGTGCTTTTAAAATAATCTTATTACTAAATTTGGTATAATACTTATTACATAGTTTTGGTATGAATACTTATTACAGAAAATAGATTGTTAGCAAGCAATTTTAGTATAGAGCCATTATGTGTATGAATCAAACATTTGAAACACGCCATGTTTTTGATTTTTCGAATCTTTTCATAAGTTTTAGAATATGTCGCCGATATTAAGGTTCTATTATGATTTTACTGGTGTTTTAAAAATTTGTTGTTTAATCATTTAGCTACATTACTAAAAATATAGTTTTCGTGAAGATTTTTTGAAGCATAATTTACATAGAAGATAATATTTACTGATAGAAATTTTAAAATTTTGCCACAACATAAAATTAAAATGTTCGTGGCGAAAAAACACAGACCGAAGATTCTTTTTTTTTAAACCTCCTAAAAATCACAATTGCGTGTTCAGATTTTAAATAAACGCGTTATTTAGGTAAAATAAACTTCATAGTTTAATAATATGATCTTTTATGTTAGTTAGAAGTTTTTTCTTAATTACAGTATTTTACTGTATAAGCTCTTACTTGGTCAGAATTCTGAAGTTTTTTTGTCAAAATTTATGGTAATGCTGTATTTTGATAACTATATTTAATTAACATGTACCATTACAGAATAAAATCAGGATCTATAGGGGTTAACGCACTTTTCCATTTTTTTTTAAACTAAAATCTGGTTAGCGCTGTTGAGCAAAATTGATCAAAAAATGTTGTTTTTTTAGGTTCATTATTAGGGGTAGTAAAAAAAGTTTTGAAAGAGAAAAAATTCTTTAAACATTATAAAAACTTATAAAAGCTATATAAAAGCAAAAAAATTATAACATATAAAACTTTTGTTTAGACATAATAAGCTGACAAAATTATGCTAATTCCAAACAAAAGAATTCGAATAATTTAAAAATCACCTTGACAACACCAAGAAACTTTCAATTCTACATTAAGTTAATATATTGTCTAACAAGTAGGGATGGTAAAATAAGGGTCGGCATTTTTATGTTAACGCAGAGGATCAATGAATATTGTTTATAAAATATTATATCATTTCATTTATTTAAAAAACATAAATTAAAAATTTACATTACCAAGACAAAAATTTACATTTATGATAAAAATAATTACAAAAAGTGCTTAAAAGTTTTAAAATAAATTTTAAAAAGTTATATTTACAAACTTTTTCAATATATTTATAAAATATATATAAAAAAAGACAGTAAAAAGTATTAAAATATTATAATATTCAATTCAATCTTTTCAGAAACAAATGACAAAAAAAAAAAAAAAAACTACATTTCCGAAAGATAGTCATAACTTATAGGCGCCACAACATCACCATTAGGCATTACAACGCCAACAGCGCTATGTCCACTAGCTCCGCTATTAAACAAATTGACTTCCAAGTAGTATTTAAAGCCGACGTTTAAACTGATTGGAGATGATTTTTGTTCAGAGAATCTGTTAAATCAAAGTTTCAAATACTTATCTTTTTCTTTTCTAATATAAGCTTTTGTGTGTATGTGTGTCTATATATATATATATATATATATATATATATATATATATATATATATATATATATATATATATATATATATATATATATATATATATATATATATATATATATATATATATATATATATATATATATATATATATATATATATATATATATATATATATATATATATATATATATATATATTTATATATATTATATATATATATATACGAAGGTGTAGCATAATTTTTTAAGTGTACTAGTAAACTAGTTTTGTCATTACTCTCTTTATTTTCGCAAAGTCACCTGTGGCATTCTAACCCAAAAAAACTTAACACTACATCCACCATGTTTTACAGTCAATAATACATCTTATTTCAATGGTTTACAGTCAATAATACATCTTATCATAAACTTTCCGAGTTCGATCCCCACCACGTCCCTGGTAGTACCGCGCTCAACTCGTTTCTCCGCGCAGCGGCCTTGTTCGTCAAGGTTCGTGTTTCGGAGTTATAGAGTTGAGAGAGGGTTATAGCCACGAATAAGTAGCCTCCTCGTCTGTAGTGGCCTTCTCGGCCTTGAGGAGGTGAATTAAAATAAAAAAAAAAAAAAAAAAAAAAAAAAACTCAACAGTTTTTTTTTCCAGACAAACTATCTTATTTTGAAATCATAGATTTAAAACGTCAACACGTCGGTCCGCGTTTACAGTCATTGATCATTTTTTATGAAGTTTTGCCCACTTCAGCATTTTTATTATTCTTATGATTTTTATCAAAGCATTTTAACCAAAATACTTTTAAATTATCTAATAGTGCATTAATAAACATAAAAAATAGTTAAATAAAAAATATCATTTTAAAAATAAGTTAATGTCATTCGAATAATTATGAACGGTAGTGTATATGCATCACAGAGGTCCTAACAGTACTAGGTCTTACCAATGATAATGTTAGTTTCTCCAAGCGCTTAAACACAAAGAAGTTATCGAATAGCAGGCCTATTATAGTAGAATTTATAGAGCTTGCCAAAAAAAAAATTGCTCTTATGAACTCTCGAAAACTTGCTGCACATAAAACCTTCAAGAAATACTCAGTGAGTCCTGACTTGTCACCAGCTGAAAGAGAGCTTGAGTATCAACTATGCAAAGACCGCAACACTCGTAATGATAAACGTCAAATTGATAACCCTGATGCGCCCTTTCACTGGGGCATCCACAATGCCCTCAATACTAGCTCCTCATCAACCAATTAGATCAGCGGCCAACACCAATCGCTTAACAACCATCTGCACCACTAACATGCGTTCACTCTGTAACAATATCGAGTTCTTCAATCAGTTTCACACAGATACCAACATTTAAGCTCTGCTGATAAGCAAGTTATTCTCTCTCAAGTCAACAGTAATTACACGTACATAAGCACTAAAGGTCAGGATCGCGTAGGTAGTGGCACTATTATATTTATAAACAAAAAATAATCAGATAAATTAGAACAGATAAAACCGTCAACCAACTTCCTGTCTTATTCAGTTGTAGTTAGTCAGCCCCCACTCAATCTCTACAAAACCACTCGACCGGCTCCCCAAAAGATTACATATTGGTCAGGTAGAGTTGCTGATACTGTTGCATTAATACGATGTACCGATCTTGAAACTCTAGTTGATTCACTGTATGAAATGCAAACTGCCTGCAACAACTTTTTTTTTTTTGTACTCCATGCTCAAGTCATCTGCCAACCATTGAGAACTACAACGCTTGTTAACCCCAAACCTTGGATGACGCCGTTTATTCAGAGCCTTATAAAAGAACGTCAGCAACTTCATTCTTTTGGTCACTATTCTGAGTGGAAAGTACTTTCAAATCGAGTCACCAAATTAATTACCAAAAGAAAACGTATTTATAACCAACGTTTCTTCTCTGGTAAAACAAATTTTTGGCGAGAAGCCGGGCTTACCAATAAAGAACAAATCACTCATTCTATCTCTGAGACATTAGCAAACCAATTAAACGACCATTTTTATGTTTGGAGTGATATGAAACAACCTAACCTCTAATTCTTCATCACCGTCAAGCAGACCTACCTATTACCCCAATTTTTTTACCATTAATAACATTCTCAACCAACTCAGCTAACTAAAGACAGGATCATCAGAACCTGACAATCTCTCCCCAATATTACTCAAATCTGCTTGCTTAGAAATTGCCCCATCACTCAATATCCTGTTTAACCGTCTGATAGAAAACAGTTACTTCCCTGATCAATGGAAATCAGCAAACATAACACCAATTCCGAAAAATCTCAAACCCGCTATCTTCTAATGACTATCGTCCAATTGCTATAACGTCTGGATTATGCAAATTTTTGGAACGCATTGTCACCAAATTCATCGTCCATCACATCAAACACATCTGGGTCTCAAACAAACAGTTTGGTTTCCTTCCAGGGCGTAGTACTGTAAAGTCATTAGAATCAAAATGTAAAATCATTAGAATCAATGCTTGGTACTCCACCACTTATGCTTTACCATCTCTCATACTCAATAAAACTGAACTCAAAATTTTATACAGCTATAAATACCTCGGAATCCTGCTCAATGAGAATCTTGATAGGGATGAACAATGGATAAAGGTGCACAACATTATAAAATCAGTGCCATTTCTACTCAAGCGCCTTAAGCAAATCGGACACACTTAGCCCAACCTACTACAAGTCTGCAGATCTTATGCTATTAGCCACATGATATATAGTGCTCCAGTTCTTACCTCTTGCAGACTTGCAGCAAAAAAAGAGATTCAACATTTCCACAAAAATGCTTCACATATCATCAGAGTTGATGTAACCAACTCAAGCCATCTCAATATTTGTTTTGACATTAAAGAATTATTTGACAAGACATGTATTAACATCCTTAAAAAGATCCTTGCAGATACAAACCATCCAATAACCACTAAATTTCCTCGCACCAATAGCAGAAACCCAAACAAATTCCCATTCACTCTAAATACCGCAATCACTACTACCTATTAGCAATCCTTTGTTCAAAAATACCTACGCATTCTTCATGATGGCGCCAGTGACCTCTACCTCCCACGAAACATTGGCAGCTCCACTGCTTTTTCAAAACATAAAGAATTAGTTATTTTTTCTGCGTTTTTAGCTAACTTTCACTCATCATTTAACAATAGATAAAATTGTACAATTCATTATTTGCTAATCAATTTTAATTGAAGATTTATAATATATATATATATATATATATATATATATATATATATATATATATATATATATATATATATATATATATATATATATATACATATATATATATATATATATATATATATATATATATATATATATACATATATATATATATATATATATATATATATATATATATATATATATATATATATATATATATATATATATATATATATATATATATATATATATATATATATATATATATATATATATATATATATATATATATATATATATATATATATATATAAATATATAAATATATATATATATATATATATATATATATATATATATATATATATATATATATATATATATATATATATATATATATATATATACACACACACATATATATATAAATAAAGTAGTAGTCAAACAAATAAACACTGCATATAAAATAATTATTTCTTTTATTATTATTAAGTAAGATACACAAAATTTCAGTTTAATATTTTTTAGCACTAGAGGCCTTGAATAATATTTTCCTATTTTTAAACAGGAAATGATAATTATCTATAGTATAAACTTTATAACTAAAATAGTCAATTTTTTATTTGATTTTAAACATGAAATGTCAATTAAAAGTGTTATGTTTTTGTTTGTGGAGATGTTTTTCATAGAAAATTAATTTTTTTTTATTTTTGAGTTCTAAAAAAACAAAAAGTTGGAAGAAAGGTACTATAATTGTATTATGTGCACGTTGGCAATTATAAACATGATTATCAAATCTATCTGTTGATTGTCCATTTCTACATCTAGAAATATATCCATTTGTACGAAGTCTTAAATTATTAGTTTTTCTGGTGTATGTAGTTTTATATTGCAAGACATTTTAAATAGTATATTATATTTTTACTTATTTCAAGTTATATGACTCTTTATGTTTTATATGGAACCATTTTTGAAGGTAGAATTTTCATATATTACAATGATTATCTTTACATTTAAAAAAACCCTATTTCTTTTTTGATTAAATGGAACTTTGAAGAGGTCAGTATTCTTAACAGATTGGGTGGTTGTTTAAATGCAATTACTGGATGGATATTTGAAAAAACTTTTTTTACTCTTTCATTTAAAAATAGATTAAGTAAAAGATTAATTTCAGTTATGAAAGGTTTTTATAACAACTTTTTATAGCAACTTGAATTGTCAAGTTGCTATAAAAAGTTGTAATTAAGGGAAAGATTTCTTTAAATTAAATTTGGGGAGCTGTTCCTTGGAGTTTTGCATTGTGAAAAGTTTTTCTATAATATTATCAGGACATTCACATTCTTTTAGCCATGTTTTTAGCTCTGCTAATTGTTGTTTTTCTTTTTTGTAATCAGATGTGAAAACAATTATTCTTATAGCTAGGTTGAAAAGGATATTCTTTTTTATGTGATAAGGGTGGTGACTTTTATAATTAAGGTAACCATGAGTATTGGTTTCTTTATAACAAATGTCTGTTTTTATTTTATTGCTATTTTCAAGAATAATAAATGTCTAAAAAATTAATCACATTGTAAGTGTTACCATCTTTTATAAATTTTTTGCCCTGGTCTGAATTCACAAACTTTACTACATTCAACTGATTTGGCTAGATTATGAAACCCTCATCAATATATCTATAATAAAATTGTTTTACATCATTAACATCTTGATCGGAGCAATTCTTAGGTATGATTTTAGGAAAAAGTGAG